AGCTAATAATATCGTTACTTAATTGACCGCAATTCTGCAGCGGAAAAGGAAAAGAAACTGCGGTGCAGAGCTAGGAATTAACGAGGGGTCACGTAACTATCGTCACTCCCTTCTTTTTTCTCATTCTGAACTAAACGAAACAGTAGTCATAGAATCAAAAGATTCTGATAATGACCACAACTGCCCATAAGATGCAACTCTGACACTTCCCGACACAATGAACTGATTGCACTGGAATCGTCGAGACCGCACTTTATGATAATTAATATTCAACTATTGTTTCATTTCCTGTTTACGTTGATGAAGCAGACTGAAATGGATGAGAAGTGGACGGTCAAAAAGCTTCTGACTGTTCAAATTGCCCGAAGATTTTTAGCAATCCTTAGGGTACTTTTTGGATGAGACTATCCGAATGTAAATGGAAGGATGGCGTCTGATAAAGTTAACATCGCCGAACTGGCGGTCAGTGGAAGTGAACTGAGTAGTTTCTAAACAAAAACTTAGTTAAGAAGATGAAAGAGTCGATGCAATCTTTCTGTTTCAGGAAGTTTTGCGAGAGAATCGGCAAGGGGCAGAAGTAATGACCTGCCAAAGTTCTTCCATCACTGCAAGAGTTCAGCTTGAGAAAACATTTCTGTTTGATTTGATTTAGCCGCTACTTTGAAACTGATGATAGTTCCATACAAAAATTTTGATGTCGACATTCATTCCAGACAGTATGCACGGCTACAAATGGAACTCTTCATTCGATCTATATCTGGACAAATATGATACGAATCTCGGGAGATGCTTGAATGACTCTCGACCGGTCGAATTTGATATTTTTGGAAGGAAAGTTATCCAAAGAGCTCTCCGCCATGCGGAAATTAGTGTTGTAATTATATTTTAATGAGCAAAAAAAAGAAGGATTGCATTATAATTTGCTTTCGTATTGACTAAGTGTGAAAAAAAATGATCGAAAAATCTGTAATTAAATATTAATCCTTAATATTTTCTTTTTCTGTAATTCAGCTTTTTTATTACTGTGAGGGAGGTAAAATTTCCCTTCAATTTAAAAACCGGTCAAATTTCAAAGAATTTTTTTATTATGTAACAGTGACAGTGAGGGTGATGAAGAAGTAATTTAAAACACTACAACGACTTGCTGCATAAAATTCAAATTTGACATTGAAACGTTTATAAACCAATTCTATAAAGGCATTGACAACGATTTCAGGCCTTCGAATTTTGTGACATAATGGAAGGACGAATGTGTGATATGTTTGCTCAAATAAACTGACATCAGTGAGAAAGACAGTTTCCATTACTTGTTACTTCCCATCCTTCTACTGGTCCGATATTTCCTGACAGCTCTCTCAAACCTTCCAGTCCTCTCTTCCCTTTCTCACTTTGCTGACCTTTTCCGCTTCATTCCCTGTCTGACATTCATCTTTAAAAAAAAAAATGCACTCACTCACTTCATATAATTCAATGAATACAGTAATCCAATGGTTCAAAGTGATACTGAGTGAATTGATTACTAATCATATCATAAATAATTGCTAAAACACGTGCTATAATCCGTGTACTAAAATTAGTTCTATACGGATGCAGCCATTCTTACGGTACAACATCTATTAATTGATTTCGTTTTCAGATAATTGATTGAAATTTTAAAATGCGACATTGTACGATATATTTATCTGTATGCAAACAACACTCCAAAAGTTAAATGAACTATTTTGCTATATCAGTTCAAGAAATATTTTAAAAATAAATATAACTTTGGAATTTCATGCAGAATAATTTCAAAATAATAATAAAATCTCCTCATGTTTTGAACGATTCTCAGCTTATTATTTGCATTTTTTCTTTCAGCTTATAAAATATATAATTAATCGATTTTGACAAATACTTTTCATGATGATTGACTTTAGAATAATTTTTTTCGAGTTTACCTAAGTCAGCTTCTATTGCAGAGAGAGAATAAGAAATTGGATGTTGGCAGGTCAGAAAAGCTTATAGCTATTAAGACTGTTTGTTCGCAAACGTGGATGAATTTCTTCACACTGTAAGCATTGAGAATATTAACATGGTTGGTTCAAAAGGCTTAATCTTATGATTCACTATGTTTAAATCGGTCACATTGTATGCGTTAGATAATGGTAAATTTTTTATTTAAGTCATCTTAACTTACTTTATTTAGACTTACTTTATGAATAAATATGATCGTCAGTAAAAATGACTGCTAGAATATTTACATTCTGGAGAAAAACTTAAGAAATTCATTCCAAGTTGATGATAATGTGATTTTAAGATCTAAAAATTTTAAGAAAAAAATGTAATTTTTTTTCTTAAAATTTTTTTTCAATGATTGCTCAGTTAAGCATCAATTCTAAGATTGATGCTTAACTGAGCAATCATTGATGAAGAGGAACGATCTACCATTTAAGTTTATATGCAGCAACTAGTTTTGGGAATTTGATGAATTTTTAATGCAGTGATAAAAAAATCCTGTTTTGTTTTTGCTTGCCACAAAAACAAAGACGCGGTTTTAGGCCTTTGCATACATCATTGTGTTCATTTGAGCCTTTGGATTCAGAAGTTTCTGAGGCAGAATGACTGTATGTGCATATATATATATAACAGCATATATGTGTGATTAAAAACATTGAGCAAGGATAAAAATTTAATAAGCATAATTCTGCTGACTTATACTGAAAAAAGTGAAAACACTTTGAATATAGCAACGAGGGTCAATTAAATGTAGCTGACGCACGATTGATGTGAAGTTGCAAACCAATTTAACATAAATTTCCATTTAACAACGAAAATCAGCTGACTATTGATTTTCATGCTAGAAAACTGCAAGAACATACGAAGAACCAACCAAATGTCAGATGAATTAAAATAAGCTATCACCAGAATTACTACAACCAAGTTAAAAAAAAAAAAACTTGGCCACACAACTACGACAATCTTAATTCTGGTGACTGAAAAAAATGATTTTAAATTTATAAAAGCAATAGGTAAAACTTTTTCGAAAAATTTATTTCCACATAAGACATCATTATATGCAAAAATCTTGGAAGAAAGAACAGCAACATGTGCAATTTCACGCATGCTTTACGAGCAGCACACCATGCCATTCGGATTATTCGCCCACCTGACCATTAGGTATTTAACGGTCGGCCATCAATTTTAAGTTCAGTGTTATACTTTTGAAGAGTGCCAGGATGGTGATTGTTGTGCCTGATGTGTTTTTGTTGATTTCAATAGTTTTTTTTTAATTTAGAAATATTTCTCTCTGGTTTACTATCTGAGATGACAAAATTTATGAATATGATATATTATGGGCGTACGTGTAATAATCACTTCACAATCTTTCATAACGTTAACATTGTGTAGTCAACGCATAGGGCTTACGAAATTTCTCTGATCGTCCTTAATGTGCATCACCAAAAAATACTGTGTTCTGGATGATCGGAGGATTATGAAAATCCGGAGAAGCATCTTGAATTTGAAGTTTTCATGGGTTAGAAGTTCTCGGGATATGTTGTTTTCCGGCAAGATCAGGGTTGTAAAAGAGATTTAACAATATACTTTTGGATGAGCTGAGTTGTTTCGGGAAGTTAGAGTTGAGGAAGTAAGTTTCTCAATTTATACTAATATAAAATTCTGCTGAAATAAAATCTTCACATTTCAGGTTAACCTTTTTATATGGTGCAAAGCACCACAAAAAAAAATGGAAAAGCAGGCAAACAGGGCAGAGCGACTTGGTGCATTACTGTCATCACGCAATGCTTTAGTACGACATGAAGCTGCACAAGCTCTTGGCCATTTCCCGCTTACAAATCCTCATGTTATTGATATTCTAAAGTACGCTTAACATATAATATTTTGAACTTTTGCATAAAAGTTTTCTTATCGGGATTATTAGATTGTTCGGTAAGTATAATGTACCTTTCGCCGGTAATTTGTCAAAAGTTATATTTTTGGCAGCGATACTCAAAGATGATATTAAAGAAATCGTTTCGCTTACTATATTAAGTAATTGTTTTAAGGTGGTTCAATCATGATAGTTGTTTGTTATGAAGGTGTGTAGAAAATGCCGTATTGTGTGTCGAATAATATTTCTTTTTGTTTTTGAAGGAATAATTTCCAATCAAGTGCATGGGATACACGAGAGGCAGCAGTTGAGGCATTCCGAGCCATTCTTAAAGTCATGCCTTCCAAAAGTCAAATTGTCTCACCGCTAATCGATAATGTTTCCCGATTGAATCTGGAAGATGTTGTACGCACCTATCATCCATTACTTAGGTAAAGTAATGGTTGTAATCTAAAGTTGTTTCAGTAATAAGAAATTAACAACGTGAAAAATGAAACACTTGTATTTGTGAATTCTCAAGTTTTAGTTGCGAAGCAGAATTGGTAACACGAATAGGTGTCTGTAGTTTCGGTGAACAACGGAAATTGGTTGATGAACAACTTGATTTCCAATCTGTTGTTGGTATCTCATCTGGAACGTTTCTTTCGGAGGATGATTTCACTTCGTCTGGAAATATCAAGGAGACCATTCCAGAGAAAAAGGTTTATTTGTTTTTTTTTAATTTTGTTGTAAATTGTTCGGCAAACAAAAATATTAAACTAGTAAAAACTTTATAGTTTTATAAATAAAAGCTTTATAATTTTTTGTCTTCATAATATTGTTGGAATCTTTGATTTGGTACCAATTGCTTTATCCAGGCTGGTATAAATTTAATTTTTATGGATTGATTGTGGTATCAGCGAATGTATTTTCCTGTCGTTATGTATTTTTTAGAATTTTTGCGTTTTGCAGTTACAGTTCATCTATAGTATATCTTTTTTTACATCTTATGCCACATCATTCTTCTTCAAACGCTAGTCACATGTTACATAGTTGTACCTGTTTCATGTCGTTCACACTTAGAAACTGTGCTGCCATTATGAACGAGAATTCTTTTTAGTGTGATATTTATTTATGGCACTGTTTCTGTAGAATTTTAATGAGCTACTTTTATAAGCGTCAAATTATTTCAGTTAGATCTTGTAACTGCCGATACTATTGGTTGTGACGACAATTTGGAAGAGCTAGATGCAGCAGTATATTCACTCTGTATCCAATTGATGCGTGATGTAGTTGATGTGAAATGGGAAATTCGACATGGAGCTGCCTTGGCGATAGCCTGTATCTTAACAATTGCCCCATCTCGGTGTGTTATTATTTAGTGATTTCAAATTTTGAAAAAATTTAGTTTACTGAAATCATTAAGGACTAAATTGGAAATCTTCTTTCGAGAAATTCCAATTAATTATTTGAATCTAAACGAGATTGAATTTTAAGGCTTTCTCCATCATTGGTCGATGTTTTAGCAACTAGACTTCTTCAAGCTGTTGCGCTCGATAAATTCATTGATTTTTCTTCCGGAAGGTTGGTAGTTTGACAACTTGGTTAAATTGTTCTCGAGTTGCAAGCATGTGATTCTAAATCTTCTGAGTAAATTATTTAACTATCAAAATTCATTTACTATGATGTAGAATTGATTCAGTTTTTTTCTTCATATTATGAATTAAGTTTCATGACTTTTGCATTCATAAACTTACTTTAGAACAGCAGTAGGCCCAGTTCGCGAAGCAGTTGCAGAATGTATTGCGCGCCTGACAATGGTTTTTCCATCTCCAGAATTCGTGGATATCATTTTTGACCATATATATACGTTGCATAAAATGACCTGCAGTATTCATGCTGAATGTCGAAACGCTAATAATTTGGAGTCTCATAAACATGTAAGTTTTGTAATATAATTAGAAAAATTTTACACATGGTTAAGCAGGTAATTATTATTTGATTTATAGATATTGCTAAAGGTCCCTATCACTAGTGGTCAATGTAAAAATCGTTAGAATACTTTTTTATGAAAAAGAATAGATTGTAAACTTTAAGCAGATTTGATATATCCAATAGTTTTTGGTCTATGTGTTTTTAGACGTGGTTCCATCGTCAAGCGGCATTGTTGATAATAAAGTATCATCTTGCCGGGCCATACTATGATGTTAAGTTCAATGAAATCTTCAAATTATTATTGTGTTCATTTGAGGACTCCCATGACGAGGTCATACTGTTTCTCTCTTCATATGTATAAAATTACCGCTTCTACCGGTAAAAAACCTTTCGCTTTATTAATGAGAAAAGAACCAATACTTCCATTTTCGTAATTAAAGGAAGCTAACAGATAAAAATTTGGCTGATGAATAACTCTAGCAGAATTACTGCGCATTCTATGATTACCCTCTTTCGAAGAAATAAAAATTGTCATTATTATTCGGCAATATTTTGCTCTATACTTTCATAAATTGGAACTTTAGGTATGTGCTTCAGCTTTGTCTGCGATAACCACTCTTTTTTGCAAAACTAATTTGAAGCCAGAAGTATCGGAAATGATCTCACATGTGGAACACGTTATTTATGGTTTCATCGATTCCACATGCAACATTTCAAGAAATCAGGCTAGCCTGTTCAAAATGAATAATTTTATGAAGAACACTTTTCAGTTTGAAGAAACTGACGGTTTTGTTTAAAATAAGATGTACTGAAGGAGTGATAAATCATCGATATTAGTGAATTGATCACTTTATGAAAACTTAGTTAAAGATTGTTGCAAAACTTATGTCCTAAGAGATTTCAAATATTTTTTACAGCTGTTGGATATTGACACCGTAGCAGTTGATCTTTCTTCGTTGTTAGTTATCTGGTTGCAAGGTGATCTGACACGAAAATTACCCTACCCCGTGTCGAATAACCTTTCTCGTCTTTTGGATCCGCTGCATATCACTTTATCGCTCAAAGTAATCAGTGTCTTTTCTGTGTCATTCTCTAGACCAGCGCCTTTAAAGGTTACACTTCATTCATGTTTTTGTCAGGTTTTTGAAAATATAGAAGTTTGGTAGTTATGAAACTTTACCCCGAATCTACATTTTTGAAATGTCTATGTTTGTAATTTAATAACAATAAATAATTTTATGAAGAACACTTTTTCAGTTTGAAGAAACTGACGGTTTTGTTTAAAATAAGATGTACTGAAGGAGGAGACAGTAGAATAAAAGAGACAGTAGAATAAAATAATGCTTGATAGCGAGAACTTATTAATTTTGTGAGCGATACATATGATAACAATATCCTTCAACTGTTGTATGGTCAAAAGTGATACAGTTTAAATTGTTGCACTCATTACGACGGGTTGTATCTTAAGCAGAGAATCTTTCGATGAAGTATTGAATCTGTGTATGTCAAATAACGTTTTAAATTGTCGAGTCTATGTACTTGATGGAGACTTTAGTATTTATATCAAATCAGTCTAAAATTAATAAAAAAAATCCTTTCCAGGACCAGAACGAGTGTAGTGAATTTGAAAAATGTACAATGTCAATATTAGCGTCTTTATTCCGTATTGTGCTTTTTACTGCACCACAAAATACGGAGAATCTCATCGAAGCTTGTATATCATGCGGATATCGTATCGTCGAGTATTTTATATTTGCAAAGCATTTACCACAAGCTTTAGTTGAAACAATTGGTCGTTGGACCGCTTGTCTTCTCATTGATGCACGAAATGCAGAAATTGGTTTGTTGTTACCGTATTGTTTACTATCGCCTCATTAACGTAACTTTTTACGAAAATATTGAATATACTCTTTTAGATCTCGAAAAATGCAATGTGAGTTCAGGCTCTAGTCGAAATTCGACAGAATGCCTATGTGGTGATGAAATACGATCTTTGAGTGATATGATTCGGATTGATATTGTCCTAACGCGTAAACTGCATGTGGCCCGTTTTCTAGCTCCTCTGATTTCAGTTATTTATAATTTTCCTTCAAAAGTAACTACTATCGCTTATTTAATTCTTTTAAATTTTTTTTTTCTCATTTCTCTTTAGAATTGGTTTGCTGCTTTCAATCTGTTCAAAAAGTTTCACACTGGACTTTGCTGAACTTAATCATATTTGTAGTTGAAAAAGATACTGTACTGAGTGACTAACAGTGCAGATGATCTTGGTTATTCTCACAAATAGAATTAAAGCTCGACTAATTTTTTTTGAATTGGTTTGATGGATTTAGCATCTGTCATATTAATCTTTATTATAATTTTTAGATAGGCGATCAGTCATTGAATGAAGCAGTCCAACTGCTAATTACTCCTATGATGAAGTCTATAGTAATAATGCATAGGCTTGGTGGAGTACTGCTAAGTCATGCTTGGTTTACATATATCTGGTAAATTTACTTTGTACTTTTTAGTTAGTTGGGGTAAACATTTTCAAAAACTACCAGTGTTTATGAAAAAATAGAATAGTCAAAAATGAGAATCGAACACTTTTTGGTTTGTAACTTCCAAATCTTAATAATCTCAATATTGTCATTCAGTTAAGGATAGTATCGTTCGAGGTGCTAAACATTAATTGAAATTTCTTTATGTTATAATGCTTCTTCTGGGGTAATGAAACTACTTTTTCTTTGCTTTTAACATAGACACTGTTATCCACATGCTTCTTAGAAACATCTATTTAAAAAATGGAATTGAAGTAATTTCCCAATTATATAATGAGACCGTACAAATTATAGGTCATATTCACAGTAATGAATTATTAATGCTACTATTAAAGATAATATTCTTCTAGGAGGTCAGGAATAACAATTGATATTCCCAGTTATGTAGCAGAAATGCTTCACAATTTAATTATGTCACCAAATGCTGCTTATGATGACGAGAAGATGTTTTTTTTATATCTCGATAATGCTTATAAAGATTTTGCATCATACTGTCGGAGGAAAGGAGTTAGTACAGCTCAGTTATTCGATGTGGAAGGACATGGAGATACTGTTGATAACAATGCAAGGTCTCACACTCATTTTTTTAAATAAAATTTCTATATTATAATGGATTATGTTTGTCCACTTTAAGTTCTGTTTTCATACTGATACTTCAGATAACTTTGGACCTAATAGCATTCTTCAGTATGGCATCTTCTGTGTACCTTCTTTTTAGGTCAAAATTTGTTCCTCACAGGCATTGACATAGTTTGATGATGTCTGTTAAACATAGCTGTTTTCCCTTCTTCAGCTTTTCTGATAATAAATTTATATGTTTAGTGCACTTTACGATATCTGCTACAATATTTTGAGTGATACGAACGACAAAGAAATATTGCGTTTGAGGTATGAAAGTTTCAAGTATGCCGTTGCAACAGCTAGAGCAGTGATGACATCAAACATTTCGTAAGTCACTGATCTTCATGTGAAATGTTTCCGGAATGCTCTAAGTTTTGATGGAAGTACTAGTAGTTCTCTCACTCCAGAAAAATCTTTTCTCTTACCGCATGAAAAAGAAGTTTTGATTATTTGGAAGCTCCTTAACACTGACCAAAGTTTATGCTCGGAAGAGTTGATTGTTTAAATCAGTTTTATTATTGCAGACGTGTTAATGCACTGACTGTTTCTTCCTTGCTCTTGATTTATCCGAGATCTTTGTTGGATTCTCCATCATTGAATCCTTTTGTAAAACCTCTGATGGAACTTATTCGTTTTGAAGAAAACGTAACGTTTGCTCAGTATGCTCTAAACTCAATACCAATTCTGTTTCGAATAGCTTCCGGTAAAAATTTGATTTTACAATAGTTATTGTTGTGATCAGTCGAACTCTTACTTCGTAGATGGTCGCTGTTCTCGAATGTTTGCACATTTACATTTCTTTTCTGCTGACCAATGCGAAGCATTTCTGAAGCGATATCAACCGACTGATGTCAGAACAAGCCATGCAAAATTCGTAAAGTGACAACAGTAAGAAAGTCGCTTCAGAAGATTTAAAATATGTCTATACTTTAACGCATTCACCAACATATATTGATAACGATCATTTTCAGAAAAACAACCTAATCCTCATGCCAAGATGATCAAGCAAATAGTTGTGAGTTTGGTTTCGTGTGCTAATCGATTCCCTCCAGAAACTGATAGGTTAGCATTCTTGATTGCTGAGAGATATATTTTGGTTTTTTATATCACGATGAAAGTATTTGGTGTTGGGGATTGATTCTTCCCGTCCTCCTTAATCTTTGGATTTTTTACATGAAATCAAGCACTTATTGGTACATCGTATGCTTATTTTATATAAAACTTGCAGAGAAGAAATAGTTTTATCACAGTCTGTAAGAGGACTTTTTTCTTCACGATCTCAAAATGCAGAATACGTCATTCGTATGTTGGTAACACCCATTGCTGGTACCGATATGGCTTCTCTTTTGGATTTTAGAAATCGCAGTTCCTTGAAAGTGTGTTCTACTTCTATAAGATTGTGCCTTTGCTTATGGTTTAGTTCAGATTACAATTTCATGATTTTTGAAAAGCATGACTTTGTTATAGTTGTACGTTGTCTAGTGAAACTTATCTTTTGATAACAGCGTAATTGTATTTCGAACGATCATGTACCTCTTTCCAGTCGGGTGCTTCTGATCTTCAAACTTTTGAATCCATTTTTTATTGAAACTGTCTGTAACTCATACTACATAGATGCAGTTCTAGTGAACGTTAGAGGAGTCCTTTTCGATTTGTTTATGAGGCATATATTCTCTATATGTGCCCATATTGACGTACTTCAGCCATCACGCTTCCTTATCGCGATGTAGTCTCAAAATGAGTGGAGGTATAACGAAATGGTGCTCCCTATTATGCAATCTTGTCTTGAAAAGGTGTAATGCAGTTATAATGCTGTAGTGAAATTGAGCGGGCATATGATCACAGCGAAGAGAAATTGCTTAATATATCCGCTTTTGCCATTGTGTGGAGGGTATTTGTGTTGTTTGTTATAAATTGAAATCATAAAACGTTTTTGTTTTTTTTAAGGAATCAGCTATGTTTATGATGGCTTATACTGTTTTCGTTGATGAAAGTAGGATACAACGACGTGTTCCGCCTCACCTCTCCGATATTGTTTTGGAGCTTGCAGTACACTTGACATGTAGGTTGCTAATCACTGCGTGTTTTATTTTCGCTCCATTTTTTTTCTTACAATATAATTCGACAGTTTTTAAAATCTCTGCTGGAATCAACTTAGAAAATCTCAAATTTTCTCGCTGCAAGAATTTTTCTTTTTGTAGCAGAAAATGCGGTTGTTCGATATTGTGCTGCTCAGTGTTTGAGTAATATCGCTCGTATAGACGGATTTCTTCGGCCAGTCTTACAAGCTGCTGTAGCACCATTGCAGAAAAAATTACGCACGGGAGAAACACGGACGCACGTTCGATGCGGGCTTGTAGAACTGATTTTTCTTCTTAGTGGCTTCCATGTGGAAGTAAGATTGTTTTTGTTTTATATTATCGATCCAATCATCGATTATAATGATAATCTTGCTATTTTGATTGCATATATAATGAAAAAACGTAATTTATTTAGATGCTGGGAGGTCTTCGTTTGTTGGCTCCATTATCTCTACGTCTTATGGCAGATAGCTCTCAAATTATACGTGAAGCAGCCGCAATATCTTTTCGTAATTTTGTACCGTTGATGACATTAAAAGCAGTTAGTTTTTTATTCTTAATAATTACAAAAATTTTGACACTGCTTGGTGTTGTTGACATTATTTTCCGAAGTTTCACGATGTATTTACTTTTAGAACCGAAGAATCGAAGGACAGTCAGTTCTGGAAAATGATGTAGCAGATGAAATTTTTGGTGATAATACTCTTGATCTGCTGTTGGGTGATCCTACTCAGTTACCAGAGTTACGGTTGACTGATATCAAAGGACTAAATTCTTCGACTTGTTTACGCCAGTATCAGCAAGTCTGTATCAGTATTTGCATTTTTTCTCGCTTGGAAAACTTTATTTCATATTTTTATGAAAAATGGTAAGGAATAATTATCTTGATTGTTATTCATAAATAAGTTTTCTCCAACTTGCAGGAAGGTATTCGGTGGATGTCATTTTTGGAAGAGTATGGATTAAGTGGCATACTTGCTGATGATATGGGACTTGGTAAAACCCTTCAGACACTTTGTTTATTGGCAATGAAAATCTACCGTAAACTTCAAGCAAAAGTTTGTGAAATATTGATAGTCTATACCGATCTAATCAAGTTTACTATTATTGATTTGATTGTTTTTCGGTCTAATAATGTAAGTAGATTCATCAATACAAAAGAATAGAAAAGGTGGAGAAGACAGTGGGAGATAATTTACGAAGTCAAAGGACATAAATAACTGTTTAAAACATTGTCTGTGATGAAAAAGTTCTGAGTAGTTATTACAAAAAAGTCTCTTGACAGTATAATATGCAAGATTATTAAAGGTTCTAATTGTGTGTCCTCCAACTTTGGTTAATCACTGGTGTGCTGAATGGTCGAAATTTTTTCCAAGCTTGTCACCATTTCATAAAATCGAGGAGGGCTGTAAAGAAAATAAATTGATGGATAAGTTGCAAGAAGTTATAGTTATGTCGTACAACACCGTGCGGTTTTGCACGTATGTTCAGTAAGTTTGGAACTTATCGTTAAAAAAATATAGCAAATCTTATTTACAATCATTATCTTTACAGCGGCATGCTTTCAGGGATATAGAATGGTACTACTTGATCTTAGATGAAGGTCACATGATAAGAAATCCTACCACTCAGTTATTCAAAACTTTAACTAACATTAAAGCTCAAAATCGTCTCATACTTTCTGGAACTCCTGTTCAGAATACTCCAGTAGATCTTTGGGCACTTTTTCAGGTATTACTTTTTTTAGTTTGTAAATTTTAGCTCGTTTCTGCTTTACAGGATGATTTACATTCAAACATATTGATAGCACATGTGGTAATATGTTTAATTTTAGTTCTGATTGGTGGTAAAACTATGAAAGTTTTAGTCGATGCATTTTTTTTTTGTTCTGTCATATCAATATACTTAATTCATTCGTTCTTTTTGCTTTACAAGATGATTTACTTTCAAGTATTTCAAGCGTAGCACATATCATATGTTTCAGTTCCTGATGCCTGGTTATTTGGGGACAATGAGACAATTTAAGTTGACCTTTTTAAACGCAATAAATGGGTCACGAAATGTTAATGCTTCCGTTCAGGAAATAAAGGTACATTTTTGCTAATGTTTTTATTGTATATGTGTGGTATGGATTGTTCACCGAAATTCATATATAAGAAATTCGAATTTTTTTGTAAGGATTCATCTTTATTGTTTTGCTTTTCTATATATTTCTTGTGCACTCTATTACTATTTTTTTGCAAATAGCTGTTGGTACTTTTGATGGCTTTGAAAGTGAATTCACAAAGTTTTTTATTTATGTGGAATAATCACTTTAAGGAGGGCCAGGATGCGTTGGAGCGGCTACACAAATCAATTTTGCCATTTGTTATGAGGCGCCTAAAAACAGACGTGCTTGAAGATCTACCTGAGAAGATTGTGCAAGATTATATGTGCAACATGACCACTGTGCAGCGCTCTATATACAACCATATTGTCAACTTGTACCAATCCGCTCGTCGAACTTCTAATAGTCCAAGTTTTTGTGCTCTAGAAACCATTGCCGAACTTCGGAAGTGTACTGTTCATCCTTCTCTTGTGAGTCACAAATCGTTGAAGGAGTAAGTGTTTCAATCTTTTTTAATCAGGCTAACGGAGTTTAACAAGTTCCTTTAAGTTCGTATTTTACAGTTATTACTTTGTGCACAAATTTCAGTTTGGACATAGACAAGCTGCAGGGTTGTGTTGAGGAATCTGGTAAAATAATCGCTTTGAGGGAACTTCTTAAAGAATGTGGCATTGGTTCACGAGAACATTATACACTGTCTGAGGAATCTGCAGTGCAAGGTGACTTTGAATTCTAATAAGTGAATGAATTTCCACTGTTTTATATATAAATAATTCAACGTAAGCTAACTTATGTGATTTGCTACTGGCATTCATTTTTTAAAAAAATAAAATAAAATAAAATTTGCGATATATAGAAACCATTATGATGACTTTAGACATATATTAGCTCTCTTTTATCTAAAATTGTTAATTATCAGTTGATGAGAAATGATATCGCTTGAAATATTAATCCAATTCAAATTTCAGTGCGACCGTACTTTCAATTATATAAAATTTTTACTCAAAATTATCAAATCTGTTTTTCGTAGTTTTATGATAATTTAGGAGTTTCTTTTATGTATTGCAGATAGTGAAATATCAGAAACTGATAATGGCCATCGCGCACTTATATTTTGTCAGCGATTGGCCACAGTTCAGCTACTTGTGAATCTATTTAGCTCTGGAGAATTAGGATCTGATATAAGGTTACTAGTGCAACATTTTTTAATGGTTTAATAACTTTGGTTTTATCACAACATGTGTTCCATCAAGTGAAAGTAAGTGCAGGATGGTCGTGGATATATTATTTTATGACTGACAAATTAAAGAGCAAACAGTACTGAAGATAATAATGGGTTATAAGGGTACCATTCCATGCAATCGTCGAGTTTTGAAAAAGAAGAAATTTTATTGGATATTGACTGATGAGAGCTTTTGCACAATTACCCCATTATTTCCATAATTTTAGATATGCTGTGCTGGATGGCACGGTACCCGTGAATGAGAGACATGCTGTTGCTGAAAAATTCAATGTCGATCCTAGTATACATGTGTTAATTCTTACGACAAATGTAAGCTTTTGTTTAGAGTTGTATTGATGTGCCATGATTTTCTTTTGGAAAAAAATTCGTGACTTTTTAAAAAACTATTGTATTTTTTGGACTCCATAATAACGAAATTGCACTAACATTCACTGCTATTCCTTTTCTCTTGATAATGTTATTAGAGGCTGAACATCACCCTTCGGAAAAGGCTCTTACTGTCAACTCTTTATATAACATTTCATGAACTTAAACAACTTGTTCGAAATAAACAGCATCCTTTTAGTTTGTTTCATGTTTACTATTGTCTTAATCCTGTCATATGTAAATTTTGCTAATTTGTAAATCTTTTTTCAGATAGGTGGCGAAGGACTCAATCTAATCGGAGCCGATATTGTTATTTTTTTGGAACACGATTGGAATCCGGTGAAAGATTTGCAAGCTATGGATCGAGCTCATCGCATTGGACAAAGATGTGTCGTGAATGTTTATCGATTAATTACCGAAAGTTCTATCGAGCAAAAAATTATGCGATTGCAGAAATTCAAGACAGATACAGCTAATGTTAGTTTTATACACTTATTCTTGCACAACTAGGTGATAAATTTTAAGGAAGCATTGTCGGAAGTTATGTTCTTAATAATCTAAAGTAATGTAACCTCAAAGTGTCCAGCTTGACATTATGTGATTTTTCTAGGCGCTAGTTGGTGCAGATAACCGTTCTTTGCAAACGATGGCTACAGAACAGCTTGTGGAACTTTTTGCGATAGACGATGTATTGCCTGAAACTAGTCTTGATGCGCGCCCTTTAAAAAAATTACGTGAGAGTGATGCACCCTCAACTTCTGATCAATATTTCACAAATTCGGACATCGGAAAAAAGTTAAACATTGAAGAATTATGGGAATTGTCACAGGTACTGTTTTTAAGAAGAAAAATAGATTTAGTTTCATTTTCATCATAGATTTACTGATTTTTAATTAAGAGGTGGTGCTTATGCTGGCTTAAAAAGTAATTTTCCTATTAGTGACTGCTAATAAATAAGCACTTGTTCTGGGCTGTGTTTTATTGACTCAGTGATTTATTGTAGTTTCAACTTCCATGTAAGATGAAAGGATATTTCCATGTTCTAGACTCTTATTTTGTTTCATGCATCTTTTTTGAAGATATACTTGTATATAGTTTTTCATTTATGAATATTGGATTTTTATCAACAGTAATGCCATCTGTTTCAGTACGATCGTTATAATGCTTCTTCAATAGCGCACTCCTTCGATTTACCTGGATTGGACGACAATTCTTCATTAATTTCGGATACCTCTGGCAGTAGTGGCATTATTAACAATAGTAGTGCCTGTAAAAAACTTCGGCTTGATAAATGAAAATTAGAAATGCATTTTTAGTGTAATTATTCAATTTTAGTCATCTTAATTTTTGAAATTCATTCCCTTACTTCATATTTTTGGCCTTGTATTGCTTATGCGTATACTGTTTTTTCCTAAGTTTATCGCCGGTTATTGGTATTTTTTGTACATATTTGCTGTTGTCTGTGATTGTATCCTGAAACTTGTTTAGCATTATCGATTGAAATTTTGCTGTGATGCATTGCTCAACTAAAAATTATACTCGGGTACAATTATACTTTTAAAATTATACTTTTATTCATTTTATATTATTCGAAAGCTTATATATATGTGGTGTCTCATGGATATTTATATTGGTGATAATTTATAGAAAAAATATGCTTTGCTGAATAAAACACACAACACTCATTATTCATAATAATACTCATTATTTATCACACTCCAGCTTTTTAAGAAAATTCGTAAAATTTTTTCCTTTTAGGGAAATGATAGTACAAGAATTTGTGGATAGAGGAAGACGCGCGTCTTTGTGCTAAAAATATCCGAATAGTATAACTTCGAGATTTTTGAGTTTTATTGCGAGTAAGAGATGTTATTTTGTTTGTCTAACCTCTGGGTAGGACAGATAGCGCATACAGGGGGGGAGGGAAGTACTCGCGCTCGAGATGATCTTTGCGATTGCAACCCAAATTTAAGCGCAGAAATCTAAGAAAGTGCAGTTGTCTAACAAAAGCTTCCAATAGATTGTAATAACTCTATATTTGTCTTGCATTCGTTTATGCATATTTTAGTTGATTTAATAATTTGATTTAACTCAGACAACAAGAATTCAGAAATACTGTAAATGGTACATAGGTGTGAAAACAAACTTACGCAAACTAGACTTGAAACATATATCACTGTTCTGATACGTTGTATCAATAGTGATACACCCATCCAGAAGCATTTTTCGGCTTACGAAATTATTGAGGTTTGTTTAATTGATATCTTTTTTTTGCAGCAAAATACCCCTTCAGCGTAAGTTTTAAAATATGAATATAATTAATATTTTTAGAATTTTTAGTGCAGAGATTTCCATCTTTCTAGATTCTACATTATGGAGCAGATTTATTCTTGAAAGAGCCAATTTTATTAGAATTTAATTTAACGAACGATGGTCTGACTGTAGTCGGTAATTTACGTGGTAGCATTCATTCACTCTTACGATTGTTTGATGATTTTGGATTACCTTCAACAAGACGCTATTTATTTCTTGGTCAGTAACAAATTTCTAATTTCAAACATTTCATTTAATAATTATCGAAATATTTGTTGTAACTGTTATCTCCTCAGTTCCATTTATGTTTAGGTTAATTATCGAAATAATAATATCTCATCCTGTTAGTCCTAAGCTTTTTTTCATTCATATTTCGTCATTTGTTTGGTTAAGCATCGTATTTAAAAAAGAAAAAAATTAAAATTATTACAAAATACAGTCCAAGTAGTATGAAATTTGGTGGTGATTCAAGTAGTATTAAATTTTGGTATCGTTTAAATTGAGAGGAAAAAAAGGATGACAATTAGAGGGAAATGTATGTAGGTGGTTATATTGGTCGTGGAAAGCAGCAAATTGAAATAATCATACTACTGCTACTAATGAAGCTTCGATGGCCAGAAGATGTGATTCTTTTGCGCAGTAATCATGAAACAATGGAAGCGATAAACACTGATGATGTACCATCAACAAGCCATCAACATCATTTTGCTGAAGTGGTAAAAATACCGTTTTCTGTTGTCAAAAAGTATGGATGGTACTAATTGTTATACTTCTGCACATAATGATATGAATGGCAATAACTGATTGTCAAGTTTAGCACGTCGAAATTCTTATGATGAATTAATCAAGTTTTATTCGGCTTTACATTATCAAGGATGTTCATTTTGGTTAGCCTAGACTTTATAATATTTAATTCATCCGTTGATTAAACTGCAGGTAACATGCATCGTTCAATTTTCACCCTCTTTAAAACTTCCGGAAATTTATCCTATTTGTTACATCATTTGATCATACCTTAGCACTATCAAAAATTTATTTCATAGTTTTATATACCTTTCCTTATCCAATTCATACAAAAATACCTAAATTGTTAATACGGAACTGTTTTATGAACACAGATCAGTTTCTCAATCTCTCCTAAATTTCTTTTTTTTCGGAAACATGAAAAATTAATTTAGCCGAAAAATTCAATAGCTAAAATGTATTGAATTTCAACTACCTGACTATTATCAGGTAATTCAATGCATTTGCCATTGTGTTCTATAAAAAATTGAGAATGCGATTTTAGACTGTTAATTTATATTAATTCAGTGTCAGTCCCAATATCCTTCAGAGCCAAACATGTATTTCCTGTTCAATCAGATGTTCGACATCATGCCCATAGCAGCAGTTCTTTCAAGTACAGTAGATTTTAAATATATATATGTTGAATGTTATTAAATTAAAATATTGATAAATTCTTGCAGTGAAAATTTTTTTGTCACTAATTGATAGACACTCATTCAAGAGATATTGTAATGAAATAGTTTTATCATTTATTTCTATAAATTAGAAGTATTTTAGAACGTTATCTATGCTGCAGTGGTGGTGTAAGTCAATGGATGACCTGTCTTGATAATATTCGTGACATTCCTCGACCCGTCTATGCGAAGAAAATGAAATTTCTGGAAGCATGTTTGGTAGCAGATATTCTTCATGCTCAACCAAATAATACAATAGAAAAGTACTATTTAATTTATTATTTAACAAGATATCAAAGCTTAGATAAGACTGGAAATTGTGATTTAAATAAAATTTTATGAAGGCAAAAAAAGAAAACGTGATCATTTCAGGGCATTTGAACCATCAAGATCAGGAGTAAGTTATATGTTTAGCAAGAAAGGTCTTCAATCAGTGTTGAGTGCACTAAAACTAAAAACATTAATAAGAACTGGCGAGAAAGGCTGTACTTATTTGACTAGCATATTTCCGATTGGTGTAGTTCGAAATTTCAAGGATGATACCTGTTTTACTCTTATCTCCTCACCAAATCCACATGTTAGTTCTTGTGAGTTATTCATGTTTTTTTTTTTTCTTTCAAAGATTTCTGTCCGTTATAGAACAGTTTTTATTCATTATAAAATTTATTAATGTTTCAAATTTAGGTTCAACGATACATCTCGTTTATAGTTTTAAAAGTCATGCTATTGAAGAAGTATATCTACCTGAGAATGATACCGATACAATGGCGGTAACCTGTCGTCGAATTATGAGACAATTAAGAAGAAGTTTTGAAGCAAATTTTACAGAAAGATCAAGATCTGAAATTTGCAATTGGTGCATGAATATTCCACCCAGTTATTTCCATTTAAGGTTTCTAAAATTTCATTAAAAAATATTTTTACTAAATTATCTTTTTGCTGCTGATTGATAAATCTTATAATTTAAAACATTCCAGTTTTTGTTTAAGTAATTAGACATTTGGTAATGTTACTTTTTATATTTTATTGTTGCTTATTTGCATAAAATTAGCAAATATTTCAGGAAAAATTTTTAAAAACTATAATTACTAATAAAAGATTTAGATGCCATTAATTTTTTTTCTTAACTTTAAAATTTTAAATCAACCTTTTATAATTTTTCGATTTAATTAATATCAATGCTTTAGGAATTTGTCGATACATAAAAATTATTCTTTAAGAGCTCGTTTTTATACGCATCGTGATATGGACATTTGGATAAAGAAGTTTGCATATGATTGGGCACACGCGGATGAGATTTTTCAATTGAACGATAATTTACACAAATCTAATCCAATGAATCCATCTCACGAGGAAAGACGAATTCGACGAAGCGCTGAACTTTTTCCTGCTTTCTACGATTTGCGATTTTTAGAAGGTGGCAATCTCAATAAAGGTGGCACTTTTCGAGTTCTCATCGATGATGATAATGATGAATATCAACAGTTCATGAAAGCAGTCAGTTTTGAATCCCAAATTTCAATGAAATCGGTTCAATATTTTGGAATTTGATGTTTCCCAAAGACATTATCATTATGTTTTATTGCGTAATTTTTCCCATTACGATTCCTTCATTTCGTTAAAATACTTTTTTTTTTATTTATTTTATAAACTATACTTCTATTTGCGAAATTTCAAAATTCCTGAATTGAATCATAATTAAGATCAATGTAAATAAGCAATTGCATATCAAATTCTGATATCATTCTTATGACAGATCTATCCGGGTTCGCATCATCTGTTTGACTCAGAACCATTTTCGGCATACGATTCGAAATTACTGGATATCGATATGACAGGAAGCGATGAGTTAGTGCGGCAAGAGAGAATAACGTGTGTGCAACGGATGAAAGCATTTTGTCATCATTTATTTTGTTGTTTTAGGAATTGTTGTGTAAGTTTTCACTGTTATCATTGATTTCGTATTTTATTAATAATATGATTTGTCTGAAAAAATTTAATTTCTTGCTTTCAGCGCAGACCGATAGAAATAGAGGATGAAGACGAAGGTATTGCGTTCTAAAAGGATGACAAACTCTTTCAATAATACCCACCCTACCACTACAAAATTACGTGATAATCACATGTCAATCAATATGGCAAAAAAGCTTCGAGTTATTCAAAAAAATTTGCATATTTTCATCATTGGAAGATTGAAATAATACAGTTACATTTGCATAATATTTGAGTGTATTCCCTCTATTCAATCACCTCAATGTTATTGTCATTTCATTTTCTTCTGTATGCGGTTGGCTGCTTTCTCTTGATGTTTTTTACTTAAATATTTGCATCTGAATGAATTATTATTTTCAGACGCAAAAGTGTTACTAATTTATCGTGGATTTCAGTTACTGAAAGGAAATGGTTTTATTATAACCTTTCTAAAAAATTTTTCTTAGCGATTTAAAAAATAGAAATCAGTGCTGTTATTATTTAGGAAATAAAAAATTTGGGTTCATTAAGGGTCATGATTAAAGCAAAGATTTGTAACTATGAAAGTTTTCTTCTGAAAACTTAGTTAATAATATATATCATTGCTAGTTATAAGACAGGAAAGTATGACAAATCCATTAGAAAAAGTAAGGTTAGGAAAGATATGTGATGCACCTAAAGTTTTTCCTTAATTCAAGCCAGTAATTAAATTCAATTACCAATACAGATGTTATGCATCGAGCATGTTTGATAACTATCAGTTTATAGTAACGACCACTCGAACTTATTATGGTACAATTGATTGGTATTTTTCTCTTATGGATTAGAAATTTTCCAGCTATTTGCTGAGATTTAAACTGAATTCCAAAATCAACGTTAAATTTCTGGAATGTTCGATTGAGATTTTAATCTAATTTAAAATTTCAGTCATTTCAATCCTAGGTTTTAATACAGTCGTTCATATATAATTGCGAATTATCGTTATTTGGAAGGGCGAATCAGTGCTAATTATCTGAAGTGACACGAACTCTTCACACCTGAGCAATAACCCACTTAAGGTTGTAAACAAACAGCTAACCTGTGAAGCCGCGTTAAATCTGGTATTAAACTTGCAATTGCTGCTGCTTTTGATGTAATTGGTTGATACAAGATCGGGTCATTTGAGTTACGTTAGGCGGGAAAGGATGGTACCGCGTGGATTAATTTTGATTTGTTTCTTTTTTTGTATGAAAGTTAAACTCTGACGGTGTTTTAAAGATGAAACGAGGAGTGATTGAGACGTTGGCATGTACGGGTGAAGAAGCTGCTGATCGTGGATTGGAAGAGAAACGTATGAGACAAAATTATTTGACAGATAGATTATATTTTAACAAGGTTAGTTTTGGTTATCAGTTAGTGTTCTTTATGACTTTCAGTTGTTGTTCTCAACTTCTAACTTCTTTAAAATATGCTTGCAGGAAAGAGTTTTTCAGAAAAAAAACATATTATCGCAGTTGGAGATTAGGGAAAGAAAAGGAATAAGGGGTGAGGGAGACAAAGGGGAGGAGATAATGAAAAGGTGATAAAACAGTTTATACAGTAAATCAGTAAACATTTCTTCTGTTTCGTCCATGGTTGAAGTGTTATCGTCACATTTGTTTTCAGGTTGTAGGTCTCGAGGAGCAGTACAATGTTAATGCTTTTTCGCTTGCGGAATTGTTGGAACTTATCTCACCTGTGGCATCAATTCATTTCAATTTCATGGTTGATCTTCGTTGGCTACTTATGTAAGTATTTTAATATTAGTAGTGCTTAAGACATGTATCGTCTTCCATTTTCGAAGAGAGTACCAAGTAGCTATTTTGTAATATGAGTAAATTACATTTATCTTTTTGTTTATATGAGCAGGTTTTGAACTTTCTTATTTGATTTTTCATGTTATTAATCTTGGATATCAATCCATAAAATGTGTTTGTCATAGTTATTACCAGTATTATCCTTATTTGCATAAATTAAAAAGCAGCTGCATAAATATTAGTTTTGTTAGCCCTGTTTATACTAAGACACGGATATTAGTCCCATATTTAACAGGTATTGCACACTAAACAGCTCTGGTCGTTTCATATATGGTTTTAGATATTTTATCCAATTTGGTATACTTTGTTCTCTAACATTCTTTTACTTAACTGATAAGGTTGTAGCTTCAAGATCTCCATTTAGACAAAAATTTGAATCATATTTTTTATTTATTAATTTCTCGTTGATATACCAAAAATCTCCCATTACATATACAGTGTTGCCAATGTCAATTATATGGATTGTGACTCCTTATAAGAAAATGTGAAATATGCTTTGGCTATTTTGTGGTTTGCACTACTTTTAAAATTTGTTAACTTGTATTTGATTTTGATAAATGTCATGCTATTTACAGGCAGTATCCAGGCCGATTACGACAAGGACCAATTACATTAATTGTGGGCGAAAGAATGGGAACTGACTTTACATTGACTAAAACTGCAGTAAAGCGATGTGGAGTAAATAATGTCAATGTTGGACGAGCACGCCTAATGATACCGTTTGGGACGCATCATTCCAAAATTTCCATTTTTGAAAGCAGTACGGGGAGAGTGCATATTATCATTGCAACTGCTAACTTGTTGGAAAACGATTGGAACTTCAAAACTCAAGCTTTCTATCACTGTAGTGGAAGTGAAGTTAGTAGATTGCATATTTGATGTTATAGCACTATTATCATGACCTATCTTCTTTCCAGAAAAAAGTAGGAGGGAAGGGTTTGATCGCCGCACAATGACTTTCAAAAACAATACATATGGTCATAGGATTTTTTCCCATCCGAAGATATGATGTTATGAGAGAGGTTTGCAATCGCGTTATGAAAATGCTTTCATGTTGTAAACGTTTTCAGCTAGCTATCGGTGATAGTTCCAACCGAAATGGATCAGATTTCCAAACTGATTTAGTAAAATACTTGAACGAGTATAAAACAAGTCAAGATTGGGGTCTTATCGAACACTGGCGGGATCGCGTTGCTAACATTGACTTATCCCATGTCAAGGCACGAATTATTTACTCTGTACCAGGAGCTCATAAAGGTCATCTTTTTCATTTTATTTCATTTTTTGAATCTTATACATATTTACACATTGTTAAATGTTTATTCGGCTTAATAAAAATCAACTCAAAGTCTTGGAATAATGTGAAATGGTGGGCAAAATAAGATAGATTTCGACAACTTACAGAATATTGTGAAAAGCTGTTTCCTTGCGACCCTTTGTGCAAGATTTAAGCAGTTTAAAGAAAACAGTTATTGTTATTTATAATTTAAGAACATGTGATAACAAGCGACATTCTTTGACAAACATTTGACTGTCTCATTGGTCATCCAGCTCAGTCTTTCTAATGATTTTGATGATTTTTATGTTGATTCGAAGGTATTGTTTATAAGTAAATTTCAGGCGTTCAACTAACGAAATATGGTCACCCAAGATTGCGCGTAGTGCTGAAGGAATTGTTCGGAGATGTAAAGATGGATGATTTCACTTACCATGCTCAGTTCAGCTCATTTGGTAGTCTTGGAGCAGCACCACAGTATTGGCTTACGGGACAGTTTTTAAATAGTCTTTCTGGTGGAACGGAAACAGGTCTATTTAAAATTAATTGCACTATAGTTTTTAAAAATGAAACTCGCTTTATTTTTATTAAGTTTTCTGGTCTTACAGATGGCGGACACTTGCGAATTATCTATCCGTGCGTGGAAGATGTCCGTACTTCTATTGAAGGATACGAAGCAGGTGGCTCACTTCCTTACAGTAATAGTGTAGCAGCAAAACAGCCATATTTGGTAAATTTCATGCACAAGTGGCGCAGCGATCATCTGGGGCGTTCTCATGCCATGCCACACATCAAGACATATGCGGGTTTTGCTAAGAACTCTCTAAAACCATCTTGGTTGCTTGTTACAAGTGCCAACCTTTCTAAGGTACCATTCAATTACTTCCGTTTACTTGCTTATTTTCATCTCAAAAAACAAAAAAAGTGCTGCAGTATTAACATTTGACCGGTGAATACGATATGTAATTTTTCAGGCGGCTTGGGGTGATTACCAATTGAAAAAAACACAATTAACTATTCGATCATATGAATTTGGCTTGTTATTCACTGACTCCGAATCCTTGGATATGTTGCCATATGATTTACCTTTGACAAAGTACGGTGACGACGACCGTGTATGGATAGTAGATAAGACATACAGGAAGCCAGACGTATTGCGCAAAACCTGGCCGTAAGTTATTTAAGCCAACATTATTTCTTCACAGCGCTACTGAACGTCATATTTCGTATGCAGGACTAGCCTACACCATTATTAAATTTGAATTTTTAAGTATTTTTGTTTGTATTTTGTAATTTTTCCTTCTGTTTACGTTGTAGACCAGAAATTTGTCTTTTTAATCAGAAGTTAAGGGATGGAAATATTTGCTGAACATTAAAGTAACGTTAATTAGAAAAAACTGTGTAATGGTATCATATCAATGCTATACTGACTATTATATATATATATATATATATATATATATATAATCATCTACATTTGCATTTTTAGAAGTCTTATCAGTGTTAGGAAAGCTTATCTTTTGTCACATTGGATTTACGCTATTACCGCTAAAAGATCTTTATCTCTTAATGAAGAGACATGATGATAACGGATTTAAATAGATCCCTGTTGAGAAGTTTATCAAGATAAGGATTGGCGGTGTTAGTGTTAATATTTAATGAAATAGACATATTTCAAAAAATCTTTAGCCAACTATTCATCAGTCACGACAAAACCCGAGTCTTACTGAACACTAGTAGGTAGGCTGTAACACATAGCACTGCAAGCCGTTTCTTGAATTCAGTGCATAACTATTGCGGATGCGAAGTTTGATTACTGTTGAGAAAACGGGTTACATTGAATTAATGAATAGTTCCGGTAGTCCTGATGATTGTTAAATAAAAGTGGTGGTAATATATGAAATCGATGTTTATTATTATTATGATTGATATATTCAGTGCACAGAAATGCATAAATTATTCCAAATTATTCCCTTGTAATATGTCAGTGTATACCTGTAAATAAATTTAGTATATTTTATTTTCCTGAATACTTTATGAATAAATTATTCCTCTTTGCTTATTCAACCCTGATCAGTGTAAATATCAACATATTATCTTTCAAGATATGAAACAAATTAATGCTTATGATTGATATATTCAATGAGGTAGAAAGATGTAGCGTTTCGAAAATTTCTATGTGAATAAATGGTTTTCTAGGAAATGAACGATGTGATACCACTTGAATTATAGTTTTTCTTATAACTTAATTCAGAATGACGTTACCTAAATATGAATTGGAAATTTGCGTTATATGGAGCTTACATTTTTGTCTAACTGTAATTGCCCACATATTGATTTTCGACACCTAGATTGTTTTAATGATTATCCAAACTATTCTGATTCCTTTGTCAGACGCTTTATTTCATTCTTATGCATATTTTAATTTTAATAGTACATATTTGATTCAGTGGATCAGATTTTTAACTGAATTCATATCAAGCATTAGTTATTTTAATATTTAAGCTCGCTAAATATGAAATTATGTAGCATGAAACATTTCAGTGTTCCGTACTGCTGTATGCAGCCCCATTTTTTCAAAACATTTGAGGAAAAATGTTGTTTGTAGGTGTAATGGGGAGAGAATACGAGAATATAGTTGAATTAGGGAGCATATATTGATCTTTCTTGAGAGAAATCGTTTCAAATGTTGCAGTATGGCGAAATCAGGGAGGTGTGTTCTATCGTTTGGTGATACTGTACTGTATGAGGCTGATCTGAAAGCATTGGAAAATGGACGATGGCTTAGTGACCCCGTTATTTCATTCGCATTCGAATATCTCCACAAAAGAACGTTGGATGAAACAAAAAAAAGCAAAGTTTGTTTGCACTTACGTCATTTTTATTCGTCAAAAAAGAAAAAACTATATAACCCTAGGTCGTTGAAATTGAAACTAATGAAAAACGCATTCGGTACACAAATGATTCGCCTTGAATTGATAGTCAAAGTAAGTGTGCAAAATAGTGAGTGGTATCTGTGCTAACATAGAATGATGCATTGGTGAAAAAATCGAGATCATAATAGAAAAAAGAGGAAATCAGTGTTAATTTCAGATTACTTTTGTAAATGCAGCAGTATGTCAGTTAATTAAATTAACCAGACCAAATGAAGTGGCAGAGCTTCTCGATGAGCTTACACTTAAAGAAAAAGAGCATGTCATTTTTGTTGTGAATGATCATGACGATCCGTCAAGAAGCGGTGGAAGTCACTGGTCATTGCTTATATGTCGCCGGTATCTTCGGCCTCACTTTTTGATCATTGATAGTGCGCAGGGAACAGATTCAGCGAATCGAAAGCCAACAGATAAGGTGTGTCTTTTTCAAAATATGAAAGGAGACTTCTGGAAACATTAAATTATATATTGGGATGTATTGGACGATCCTAAACAACTGAGAGGGAAGCAATAAAACATTGTTTAAGAAGTTATACTAAGTGTGAACAATGAAGGATTAAGGCATTTTACTTGCATAACATGTTGCTCAATTAGTGGAAGGTTTCATTTTGCTATAATTTTAACAAGCGAATTAAATGTTCCCCTATTCGGGAAAGGGTTGAAATTATAGAATCAGTTGAAAGAAAAGAGAGCATTTACATCCGCCTGCACTACCTATTGGAATCGGTATTAGGAATAATTATCAAGTGCAGTAGTTTTCGATTTTTTTTACATATGTAGAAAAAAGGAAGCGAACTTTGTCTTTTAATATTGATCAGGTTTCTTACAAGCTTTGATTTGAAATATTACTTCCTATGAAATGTTATGTGATTGCTTGGCATTAGTTTTTGGATATACCTTCGATTCTTTTTCTCGTTCTTCAGCTGATTCAAACACTAGCAAAATATTTCGGACTTCCAGTAGATACACGTATCGAACGAGCCACAAAGCAGTATAATGGCATGGACTGTGGAATGTTTGTTATAGAATTCACTCGACATTATGTCGAGGTTTGTTGAGAATTTGTAAAGTTTTACTGGTTAGATAGTGGTATTATCAAATATTTGAAAACTTTGCAGTACAATTTGCTTAAAATTGGATCACTGCAATAGAAAAGAAGCTGAATATCGCCTGATATACAGTGAAAGAATAATGTTAAAAAGAGTTTTATCGAACTGCACCTTATAGTATAAATTATAATTTATGGTACTTGCGTTCTTTTTCCGGCATCAGATTATCCTGAAGTGGAACCAAGAACCGAATTAAGTTTATTTTTAATATACTGCTAAGCGTTATTTTACCATGTCTATTCTCTTGATGAATTGTTCATTCCGCTATACTTTATTTGGGAATTAATAAAGTTACAGCTGTGCCAATTTGTAGAGTTTGAAACGGAATGAATTCAGCGTTGATTTCACCCAGCTGAACGCAGATGATGTTAAAAAACAGCGGAAAGTGTGGGGTTCATTGATTCGTTCACTGGCGGAAGAATAGGATGAAAATCTCTGCTCTATTATCCATGTCTCAGTATACTGACCAGTATCTTACTTTTGGTAGTAGTAGCAGTTAATTGTAGTGATTGTCCGCTTTTTCAGTGCTCATCTCATTGTGCCTTTTATTTTTCAGACTTCTTTTTGTTTATTTCATTTGTTTGCTCATTTTTTGTCTCACTAGTAAGTAGTGTATATTTGAATTAAGATTGTTGCTTATTTATTATATTGTATTTGAATTAAGATTACTCCTTATTTATTTCTTTTAGGTACTTAATTTATTTTTAGTCCATGCTCTGTTATATGCAGTGCAGTCCAAACACTGTCCAAAAATGTCTTTCTGTTTGAGGATGCAAACATCTCTCTTTCCAAAAATAACTCTTCACAATTTGCATTGTCTCCAACTTTTTTCCCACATTATACATGCCCTGCACAGTTTCTTTAGCACTTTTTTCCCTATATTTTCTTTACGAAATGATGGTCATTTATGATGAAAATGACTATTTCATCCCACTCCACCGTGGGACACTAATAAGAGATTTATAGATATCAACCTGTGATTTATCCTTTTTTGAAAAAGAAAGGATTACAATGTCAACAAATCATACTTTTAATGGAAGATTTCTTTCATACTGCAGGCTTTTTTTATCAGTTGTTTGTTGTTGCGTTTTTTGTATTTTTTGTTCTTTTTCTGAGATAATGATAAGTATCGGGTTTATTATTAACTTTTTGTAATAATTTGTTCCGCTTCAATTGTCTTGTTTCTTGCATCATAATGCAAGCGTCATCTCTGAAAAAAGTTTAAAATTGCAAAGGGAATGGAAAAGAAAAATGATAAGTTCTAGCAATTTTCTAATTAAAGTAAAATATTTAATAAGAAACTGCATAGTTTAATCTGAAGAAGCATTATTTATTATTCATGGTATGTGTAGATAGCGAATATGATTGCGTTGTATATTTTCAATGTACGTGTTTCTGGTGCTAAAGTTGAAAAAGATCTACGATAATTATTGAATACAAGAAGCAGCTAACCAGTGATTTATTTGCCGCTTAATGTATTGTTTATTCAGCTGTATGATCTCTCCGTTTATTTATTGAGTTTATAAATAAAGCATTATATTTTTTTGAATTGTTTTATGACATGAAAAAACATTCCTTCATGCTTCTGTGGAAGAAGATTTGCGTCTTTTACCTCTTTGATATGTGTATCGGAAAATTGTTAGGAATGATATTAGGTTAATAATTCCTTCATCTTATCTTTCTGAATCAAATAGTCCTAGCGTTGGAAGATTGCCGTATTCAGTAAATTCATAGGTATTTTTTTAATTCCTTAAAAGTGATGTCTTACACGAAATTCCTGGAAATGATTTATGATATGGATTGTCCAATCATTCTGCTTGATCAACTGGTTACTTCTGTTGATTTTGTAGTTTCAGATGTTAGGAAATTTTCGATCTCTATTGGTATTTTTTGATTGCTTAAAGACAGTTCTTTATATATTTTTAATTTATTTAATTTCATGTGTTTTTCGGCATTTTTAAGATTCTAAGAAATGTTTTCTGTTGCACTTCAATCTCAGTTATTTTTAGTACGCCATTGTAAGGTTGGCGTAGTAAATTTATTAATTTATAGCAGAACTTCTGAAGAACGGTCTTACATCGATATTTGTCGTGGGAAAATTGAAAAGCGGTGGTAGTGAAATGTGGATTTATGATGTATTAAAAATAAAATGAGCAAATATGGAAGGTGAGTAAGTTTTTATAAGTTTAGTGGACTTTACAAATTTCAGCAACAACAATCCTACAAATTTCAACAAGCAACAATCCCACTCAATGGTAATTACATTCTATCAATGTCAATTTAATATCTTTGAACGCCTCTTAATTGGGAATTGGTCCGACCTGCTTATTATATATCTCTCTTGCTTCTGTTCTCTAGATTTTATCATAAATGCATTGACTTTATTGTGAAATGCTAGAACTCGTTGCACTGTTTTTCGAAAATTTTCATGCATTTAAACATCAAAATTTTTGTTACGTCATTCTATATGGATATCATTTTGTGGAAGTCACCGCTCTTTTCCATTTTGAACTCTTCTCAGTCAGTTGCAAAATATATTTAATTAGAGTTTTCGTTTAAATGTGCTTTGATTTAATGATAATGTAATTAAACAGTCAGTAGTGTTACTAATATATTTTATTGTTGTTTAATTACTGTTAGCCACTGTTTTTTAATAAAGGATATTATAATTTTAAGTGTTAGATCTCATTTTAAATTTTAACAGAAAAAAATGTCAAATTTCACTTCAGATTCCTAACCAGTGTAGTGTACCTTCAGATACTGAAATTTTTGATCAGTAACGATATCTAAACTATTTAGCAGAAAACAAAAGTGTACTTCGTTTGAATCAGATATATAAACTCAGAATATGATATTGAGAGATCATTTAAACTTTTGAAGATGTGGCATTCAAGAATACTTATGTACTCTTTCACTTCGTGGCATACATTTCGAGTTGGAGTTAAGATAAGATTTCTGGAGAAAGTCATAGGGAGTCGAAGAATCAGAAATCATTCTTTAATCGTTTCCACTTCTCGGATGTATTCGGAAGAACCATTAAGTAAGTTTGAACTTTAAAGTTAAAAAGATCTTTTCAGTATAAACTATTATATAAGCATTTTATGCTGGTATGTGCATCAGGTTAATTGTCGGTAACAGCTTTTGAGCATGATCGTTTTTTTTTGTAATATCTTTGAAATATAAACTGTTATATAATTCAGACAGTAACAATTTCTGATTGCGAGTAGTTTCGGAAATATTAAACCAGAAAATAGATTAAATTTAATAATTTGATAACCAACAATGTAAATCTCTTGGTTGTATCTAAATCGATGATATCACCATCGGAAGACATGCTACACTAAATTATCGATCTAATATAATATATACTTCTGCAGTATAAAAACGAAAAAGGAAACTTACAGATTTCATCATATGCAGCCTCCAGTTTCTTTCGTTTTGTTGTTATTAATTATATTACCAAAGTGATGCTGTAATACTGACTACTTTGTTTCACTGATGTTAATTACTTCTTTGCAATTAACATTAAGAAAGAAATCAAACGATGGGTACACTTTTGTCTCTAGTTTTCATCGAAGACAATTTGATAATTCTGCCATTCTGCATTTTTCCTTTTGTTTTGCCGTTCTTTTTTTATTGTGACTTCTCATATTTTTTATAGTTTTTGAATGGTTTTGAACGCTAATAAGCAAAAATTTGGTACGGCCACATGCACATTATACATCTGAAATCATTTTTTTCAATAATTGATTTCTATAAAGTAGTCATTGCGAGAGTTACTGTTTTTAAAATATTAGTGAAAGTTTGTTATCGATGAATTTTATTTTATTTCATGTCTATGACTCCAAACGGCCTTTTATTTGCCCAAAATTTCTAAAACATTGAAAACAAATGTCTGCGTATGGGTGGTTAACTTTTTTATTGAAGCATTTTGTCCTTAAATAACTTTTTTATTGAAGCATTTTGTGCTCTTTGAACATGCAGTTAATGAGTCTTTAGATGAATCAATTGTTTTGTTTTGTTTTGTTTTTTTCATTCTGGAAATGAGCAAGTAATAGGATATTCAACATACCTCTTCCATGACCTTATCCTTCTCTGGAGAAGATGGAGGAAGAAGAAAAAGAAAGGAACGTGTAGAGTTAAATGGTAATTGGCATTTCTAATTATATAAATGACATTGATTGTTGGGAATGAGCAGAAATTTGTTTTTTTTTTTCTTTATTACCTGACGTTAAGAAATTTTGGTGTTTAAAGTTGTTTTTTTTGGGTATTTCATAGTGCTTTTAATTGATACTGTATAGATAATTAGGCTATCCCTTCCGTTCTCCATTCATCCACTCTTTCTCGATTATAAGTGGAATCTTAATTTTCGGCGTATGTACGTTTCTTGAAAAGTTGACTACTTTCTTAGATGGTATAAGGGGGCAAAGCAAGAACCACAATCATGAAAATAATTTCGGTACATATTAAATTAAGTTTTCAGAAATTGATCTGTGTTGCTGTTGACTGATGGGTAATATGTAGGGATTGATTTGTCATGAAAATATTGATGTGCTACATTTGTTAATTTCATTTTTGCTCTTAAATTAGTATCAGGCAAGTTACAGTAGTTGAACTAATTGAGTCAGAAATTAAATCCTTTCAAGGAATATTTACTTAAATTAATATAATTAATGTTGTGATTGGAAAATATGTTCCGTCTATAGAATTGCTTGAATTAGGGTAAAGAGATATTAAAAATTTTCACAGGTTCTTAATGTAGTGTGGTATTTCTGTTGTGTGTAACTGTAACTGTGAGAAGTCCCTTCAACTTCGTCAGACCAATGTGTATTTTCTTGTTTCAAATGCTATTGGTACTTAGTTTAAGATTGAATGAGTAAAATCAATAGAAAAAGTTGCAAATTTCATTTAAAAGGTATACCAATGTTCACTAAATAGTGCTACAAATCCTGCTAGTATAATATCGGATGAATTAGTATTAGATCGGTGAATTTTATAATTACTTTGTTTTTATAAAAAACGAAACTTTAAACCTGAATTCGAATTATTTAGGTGTCATATTTAGTGAAAAAGGGTATCAAGCGTTACTTTTTAACTTACAGAAACATTTTGTTAAAATATTTCATTTGACGAAAGTTATGCAGGCTACATGACGTTGTGCATCGTATATTCACGTGCCGTACAAACAGTGAAAAAAATATTTTTTTAATGGTGCTGTAATATGTTAATCAGGTTTCAATCGAAGCAAGCTGGAGGCATTTGTACGTTGCTGCAATTACATAACATGTTCTCGGAATGTTGGTCACAACAATGTTTCTCCCCCGCGAAGTTCAGGAGTACGCAGTTCCGGTAACTGCAAATTAACACCAGGTTATCAATTTAAAAACAAATCATTCCTCTATATAGTATCGGGTTATTGAAATTATTTTTTAATAATGGTTCGTATGCAATTAAAGTAACCTTTTTTACTTCTGTAAAACATTGATGTAATGGAAGATTGCAATTTTGAGAGAAAATTCGCAAAAAAGAACGAAAGAAGGAAGGTTAAAAAGTAGTTTTGGAAAAGGTAAACATATATATGTTTAGACGTTCCAGTAGTTAGTACATTGTAATGATGTCGATAAAAATTTCACGAAAAAATTTTTTCTTCGAAAACTTCTTTGATTTTTTTCTGTTGCGGAAGGGGAAGTGGTGATGTACTATTCTGTTGCTTTGGTAAATGTTGATTGGTTAAATTCAAGTTGTAGAAACTAATCATCTTTGACGAGGGGGAGAGGGTGATTTATCTTTATGAGAAATATTTGGTGATTTTTCTTTCAAATTTGTAAATAATACAAGATAAAGGAAATTCTGGAATACTCAGAATTAGATATTTTAAATATGTGTTGATTGATTTCAAGTGAAAAATGAGAAATTTTTTATTAAAAAAAAAACATAGAAAAAGTCTTTCGTTGAAAAAATTAGGAAAGATAGAAAAAAAAAGTTATGCCTTTCTTAACCGTTGCCCACTATGGTACATCTGAATGGGTTTTTTGTAGATATTTTGCAATCAAAATTTTTTTCTAGATTTCAGCGAAATTTTGAGTAAACAAAAAATTCAAAAAGTATCAACTTTTCACCTTTACATAAACTGGAATTGTATGAAGGCGGAAAAGTCGATTTTCACTGTGTCATTGTGATTTGTTAGCTAAAAAATTATAATTTTTTATGTGAAGTTAAAATAAAATGTTTAAAAATAAGATGAAAAGTTAGCGTGATAATGAATGGATTAGTTTTGTACGTCACGCGTAGAATGTATGTGATTCTTGATCTAAAGCTTCAAATTGAAGCGCCATTTGATCTCGCGTTATAGACAAACACTTTGTTGGAAGTATAAATCTCACTCTGGCAAAATACTGTGCTGCAGTAGACGGTTACAGTATCATTACGGTTTGGGGGAGTTCTCGGGACGAGTATAAATAATGTATATGGTGGGTGAGATGAGCTCTGGAATGATGTTGGTACCAATGGTATTCACAACACTGGTACTCAGTGGTAGACATGACTCTGAACTTCATCCTTTATTCGTCATGAATAGTGATTTTTGGGATAACGGTGAAGATGTGGCTGCAGGTCATAGTTATTAGCGCCTTCCTTATGTTTGTAATTTGCTAAATGAACTTTACATTGTAATTAAAATATACTGTAAAAAGTTATTATCTTTTTCACAACATATTTTAACAAACCAAGTAGTGGCATCCGAACGATGAAATTCCATGTTCTGTGGTCTGCCCTCTTGACAACTTTTAATCGGTGGTGGAAGTTGAACCTCTGTATCGGCCATTGTTCTGTTTTTATGAATGTTGACAAATAGCAGTGGCTTACTTCTAATAAGAAATTAAATACTTAAGAAGTATATTTTGGTATGGGTGATATGGGGGACTTGATTAATGTACAGAACTGTAAACTGTAATATAATTGAGTCTATAAACCATAGTATATTTGAATAAATTGTTGGACTTAGTACACAGCGATTCAGTATGAAGAGTCTCAGTTTCCATCTTACTATACATATTTTGAGTTTTTAACTTATCATTTTGCGCTGATTTCAAGGATGCGATATTATCATCAGTAACTGTTAACGTTAAATAAATCACTTCCAGCTGGAACTGCGGAGTGAAGAGATACACCGTTGTGTGTATCCTAGTATATACAGAACATGTTATCTGTTGGCTTGCTATTTCTGGGCATTTTCCGCAATGTTCAGGCATATCTTCTGCGTACAAATGCCACAGGTCATTTTGACCATAAATCACATGTTCTAAGATTTGCTGTATTTTCAAAATTATATGATAAGTGGTTGATTTTTTTTATTTCCTACTTTTAATGTGCTAATTGCAAAACTGATGGATTGACGTCAGGAGTCCACTTGATGTTTCCCGTTTTCCTGATACGTTTTTGAGTTCAGGAATCTCGCTTTAGAAAAGCTTATGGATGTCTTTAAAAAACATGTATAGTTGAGTTTCTAAGTTTCAAGAAATTTTTTTGCAGATAGAAAAAGAAGTTAAGGTAACACGATGAGTTCCAGTTGCTCCATAAATTCCTCCTTCTCCTATATGGAAGCAACAGTTCCCTTTTTTTATATTTGAAATAATCTCAAATCACGGATTTGATGTTACAGAAAAGTCAAATTCTAAAACTTTCCTGGAGCGTTAAAATACAATACCTTTTCTGTGTAATGCATTTCAGATAAAAGAAGTCGGAAAGAAAACAGATTGGGAAGGGGAGCATCGATGTCTCCCAGTTCTAATCGCAGCAATGAAGCAGCAGCTGATGCTGTTTTCAAGTCAGCCTGTAAAGAGCGGGTTTTGCTAGCTTATACTGATTATAACTTGGATATAACAAAGGTGAGTTCATTTGAGTGAGACCGGGATGGGAATTTATCCACTCCCAGCTAGCGCATCTGATGGATAATGTTATTTTTCATTTTGCATTTGACTTTCTGAAAATTTTTTTCAGATTGTGAATTTGTTTTCAAAATATGGTGAGAGAGTAAATACAGTACGTGTTAGTAACGATGCTGCCAAGAACATACTAGAAATAGTTAGATGGCCATCAATGCCACTTATTTTTGTTAAGGTGTGTTGTATATACATTGCACTAGAAGTGTTTACAGTTTATGGGAACTATTCGATCATTTATTACATGTTATCTTGATGGTTTACCACTACCTGCCGAATACGGCTGTGAAAAGGCTTCCTGAAAAAAGCTTATTAACATAGCCATCAAATATTTTTGCAATCTACTTGGTTTTTCTAGTTCGGTAAATTAGACTGTTTGAAATTGGAAAGAAAGGCGCATATGGATAATCATTTAAGGAAAGCATTTATATTCAATGATCGGCTCATTCTTTTTTGCTTTTTAGGGAGACTGTTGTGGTGGCCTTAAAGAACTTCATCAGTTGGAGGAAAATGGTTCTTTAAATGAATGGTTAAAAGAACATCAGTATGATATTGCTGTTGTTGGAGGTGGTTCTGGTGGTCTAGCAGCTGCAAAGGTTAGTTTTAACTGCTGCTTGAAATTGCTGTAAAATTTATATTTAAATATCCGCTTTCGGTTCTAGGAGGCAGTTTGTTTTGGCAAAAAGGTGGTTTGTCTGGATTTCGTTAAGCCATCAACAAGAGGCACAACCTGGGGCTTAGGTGGAACTTGTGTTAATGTAGGCTGTATACCGAAGAAATTGATGCACCAAGCCGCACTTTTGGGTGAATATGTTGGTAAGTGGTTGTTAGCTTCGGTTTTCACATTTCAGTTTCTTTTCAAGGTCAGTTTTCCAATGACTGAGTAGTTGCAGAAGATGCCAAGAAGTTTGGCTGGGAAATACCTGAAGGTACAATAAAGTTGAACTGGCATCAACTCAGAAATGCTGTACAAAACCATATTGCTTCGCTGAATTGGGGATACCGAGTTCAGTTAAAAGAAAAATCAGTTCGTTATTTTTTTGTTGGTATATCTATACTCTTGCTTGAAAATGCTGTCAGTAGTGTGATTGCTTTTCGGTGGAATTTGAGATAACAAACTTGACTTTGTGTTATTTCATGCTTTACCTTTCAAATACTATAAAGAACCTTGATATAAGTGACAAGAAGTACAGCAGTCATTAGAGTAGGTTAGTGCAATATATTCAAATAAATGAAATCTATGATCAAGGATCATCTCCATAGACAGGCAAGGTGATTTTAATGCATTTTTTTTTTGCCTTTACTTCAGGTGACTTATATGAACTCGTATGCCACTTTTACTGGTTCTCATGAACTAAGTGTCAAGAATAAGAAAGGAAAAGTTGAAAAAGTTACTGCTGACAGATTTTTAATCGCTGTCGGATTAAGGCCACGTTTTCCTGATGTTCCAGGAGCACTGGAATGCTGCATTAGCAGGTACATTCATATACTCTCTGTGTACATCTCAAACGTAATACATTCCTTTTCATATTTGACTTCACTTTTCAAGAATTCATGTTTTCATTACAGTGATGATTTGTTTTCACTGTCCTATAATCCTGGCAAAACTCTTTGTGTTGGTGCATCATATGTTTCGCTTGAATGTGCTGGATTTTTGAAAGGTATTGGTAATGATGTCACGGTTAGTTTCATTCCTTTTCACATTTGGTTTAACTTATTTAGCAATTCATGTTTTCAGTACAGTAGCGACGTTTTACAGTAGATTTTGCTTTAAGTTGGTATTTTCATAATTTTTTTTCAAGAGTTCTTATTACTGTCTCACTCTGTTTCTGCTCTTTAACTGATATGAAGTCTTCGTCCTCAAGACTATTGTTCACTATGGTTTTTGTTTGATACACGCTTTATTATTTTGTATAAAATTTTAGGTTATGGTCAGATCAATTTTGTTGCGTGGTTTTGATCAGGATATGGCGGAACGCATTAAGAAACATATGACAGAGCATGGCATCAAATTTCTCCCGCAAGTTTTTTTACTGTATTGCAAGAAATAATGCAAAGTGGAACTCGTGAAAAACCAGCGGCTTTTAAGGTATATACCAGTTAAGTATGAAAAGCTCAAGGAGCCAACTAATGATGAACCAGGATTGATTAGAGTTCATACGATCCAGGAACATGAAGACGGAACAAAAGAGGAAGTTACGGAAGAATTTAATACGGTATGGTTTCGATTTGTTTTTATCACTAAGTGATTTCCATTGCTAAATCCGGTGCATTGTTTGTGGTTGCGAAGAGACTGTGGTTATTCTTTCAACAGGTCTTGATGGCAATAGGACGTGATGCTATGACAGATGATCTTGGTTTGGATGTAGTCGGTGTGGAGCGTGCAAAATCTGGTAAAATAATTGGAAGAAGAGAGCAGAGTGTTAGTTGTCCGTATGTTTATGCTATTGGTGATGTGCTGTATGGCTGTCCAGAGCTTACACCTCTTGCAATACAAGCAGGTAAAGTTTTAATGAGGCGCATCTTAACTGGGAATTCTGAACTGACCGAATATGACAAAATACCAACAACAGTATTTACACCGTTGGAATATGGTTCATGTGGATTATCGGAGGATGCTGCTATTCAAAAGTAATATTTTCACTGATTTAACTTCATATATGTATGGGTCGGAACAGAAGTATCATGGTTTCCAGTTATGAATTTCAGGTCGCTATAACTAAGCTCTAATTTTTATATTCCTATGCAGTAGAGGTTCTTGTGAAGCATTTTGTAATATGGTTGTAGAAGCATGTTCTTTGCTGTGATTCAAATCTGTTATAATCTCGGGTACATTTCAAATTTTTTAGATACGGAAAAGAAAATATCAATGTGTATCATAATGTGTTCATTCCGCTTGAGTACGCCGTGACAGAACGAAAGGAAAAAACACACTGTTACTGTAAATTGATCTGTCTGAAGAATGAACAGGTAATTTACATTGTTGTAGTCGAGTCCAAGTGCATAAGAAATTACTGTTCTCAATATAATGTCAGTTTTTACTGTCATGATTTTACTTCATCAAATTTCAGGACTTGGTTCTTGGTTTTCACATTCTCACACCAAATGCAGGTGAAATAACACAAGGCTTTGCAATAGCTTTGAAATTTGATGCTAAAAAGGCCGATTTTGATCGATTAATCGGTATACATCCGACTGTTGCCGAAGTATGTTTCACAAATCACTTGATTTAGTCTCGTTTAACGTTCATAGGCTATAATAACCACTTTAATTTTCTTTATCTATACCACACATCCTATATATATGCTTAAATTGATGCAAAACTTAAAGAATTTTTCATAATTTACATTTCAGAACTTCACGACACTTACGCTGCTTAAGGAGGATGGGCAAACACTGAAGGCTACAGGATGTTGAGGTTAAAGTGCGACTCTTGTTTCTGAGTAAACAAGAGTCAATAGCTTAACAATTGAAATAAATGCGCATGGAATGCGTCATCGTTATAAAATTAATAATGCATCACTCATCCAGCGTATTATGTGACGAATTTGGGCTAAACTCCATCGTGAGCGCCCATTTTCTGATGGTTTCAATTTGAGAGCTTTTTTTGCGGTTATCAGTTTTCCTGTTTTCGTATTTTTAATTCACTCTTTTCTTTAGATAAGGTAATAGTAACGTATATTTAAATGTGCCAAATTTTGAACGACATGTTGATAAAATAGATATTGATGTCAATTAAATATATCAATAAGTGTATGTGAAGCGCATATTTTCACAACAAAACTCAATACTTATTCCGTGACAATGTTCGCCGGACACGTGGGCACATTTATAAAAGCAAAAATGTATTCAGGCAATTTGCTTAATTTGACTTCATCTAGATAACCTAGTCTGAGTAGTTTTAGCTTGTTGCAAATTATAAAAAGGGTAAATGCTTCCTTTTTGGCTTACCACAAAAGTCGCCGTATAAGATAATACTGTATGGTTGAAGTATAATATTTTGTTACTTATATATTTGCTAGCATATTGTTAGAAGTGGAACATTATGAATGGTCGAAAGCCTTCATCTCGGCAATCGGAATTTTTAGGACAGTTTGTAGGAGTGAAAACACACGTATAAGAGTTCGCAATCCTTGAAACAATGTGTAGGATACTGCTGTAGACGACTGGCAAATGGAGCAGTTTCTCGATCTTAAACCAGTTAAATATGTTTACGTGACATACAACATAAAAATTGGCGACTATGTCTTAGGATATTTCAGCTCCTTTAACAATAACGGGCTGTCCTTCGCTGACTGTGAATTAAATCTTTGGTATAAATTTTGAGAATCGTACTTCACTTGTTGTAAGTGGTTTGTATTTGCATCGCGGCTTTTTTCCTGACACCAAAATCCCAAGTGGATTCATCTCTACTACCTGATTAATGGAAGAATACCTCTTGCGGATGAATAAGGCACTCAACTAGGAAGTCTGACACCAAGATCCCAAGTGGATTCATCTCTATCAATGAAGAAGCAAGGCTATACAAATCAAAATGATCTGAGGCTAAGGCTCTTTATATCAGGATTTTTCAGAAGGGGGGGGGGGGTCAAGAGTTCTATTCTTGCATCGAATAAGGTGTAAAAGTATACATCCATGTGGGTATTTAAGTTTAGCTTTCGTGCTCAAAAATTTGAAATAAACCTGGATTTTCTGGTTAACTGTAGATTTCTGAGAAGCTGTTAAAATGATCTCTTATAATAATTGATTAGATCTTAATATGTTTAGTCTTAATTTGATTGTGGAATGTGTGTGAGATATTTGGCGCTCATAATTACATATTGTTTTTCACATCTGACAGTGATACCGCTACTGAACATCTCTATTTGAATCAGCTGTACATAATTTTGCTTCTAAGACTTCTATAGAATTAAGTGCTCAAAAATTTCTGATTACCATAAATTAGATGGCAACAGCATATTAGCAACATATGGTGAGTCATGAAAAAAGAAAGTACTTTTGCAGCATCCATTATCATCTGAAATAGTCATACATTTTCTACTTCAAAACCATTCATGAAAAGGATAGAGTGCCGAGAATCTGATAATTAAATGGTTAAGTTGGAAGGAAAATGTTTAGCTTTGTAAAATATTAGCGATTTTCAGTGTATGGGACGGGCAAATATTAGTAACTATATGATTCTAATCTCAACCATTTCAAATTCATATGTAACTTCATATGTTAAATTCATATTTAATTAATAATTTTCAACGATATTGGAACAAATTTTTTGCTAACAAAATATATGAATTCTCTTATCCCATGGGGAGATCCTGCAACGTGTATTTCAAAAAAATTTTATGCGGATGCTAGGAATCGGACATTCAGAAACTGTTACAGACGAAAGTTGCAGACAGGTATCGGATTAACTTTCCAAAGCAGAAAGATTTGTTTGTTTCAAAACTAAATTAGACAGTCTTACACTGAGATTGCATGTTGATCACTTCCTAAGTTAATCAATATGATTGGAATATCCGAAACAAATCACATAGATTTGCAATAAAATTAAGAGTTCTTCCAATCTCGTTTCATATATTCTTTTTTTTATGATAAAAGAAATTAGTACGAGTTCAATTATTCCAACAAAATTTTCATAGCAGGCTAACCGCTATTTGATTTTGCATTGCAAGTTATAAAGATAATATGGCATAATCAGTGATAGATATTAAGCTTTTTTTTTGAAAACTGTCACTGAGATTACAGGATCGAAGAAATGCTTTAAAAAATTTCGCTTTACATCAGAATCGCTTCCCTTCTGATGCGGATTACTTTACTAATAATCGTTTACAAATGAATTAAAATTAAATTAAATCTTCTCCACGCAAATACACAACTTTGGCAAGCGAAAAAAAAACCGGTCAAGAATGAGAATTAACTATGAGATGTAAGAATGAAAGTGAATGTTTTGGTGGTGCATTCTCATTAATTTACATTTTTTTACAATTCATTAATAGCATATGATGCCGAAAACGCTTTGTAAAGCGATCAAATAAACATGTTGGAAAAATGAAATAAAACAACGACTGCACGAGGAAACGATTTGAATTCATATATTTGACCCTGAACAGTGTTATCATTTTTAATGCTTGTTGAAAAATGTTAATATAAGTACATATATTGAATCAGACAAAATATTTATAAAAGTTATGAAAAAATTTACCGCCATAAAAATTTGAATATATTCTCGTAGTTGGCAAAATTAGACAATAACGGTCAAATACAATATTATTTCTTATAGCATAAAAATTTTTCTCAATTATCAAAAAGAAAAAAAAATGCATGAAAATTTCGAGAAACATCAGAAAAAAACATGCCATCATATTAATTTGATCTCTTAATGAGAAATACTCATAAACTTTTCACTTTCTGCATCTCCTACAAATAATGAAGAAATTGTTAACTTTCTACAGAAAAATAAATCGTTCAATTTTTTTTTTCTTTTTCGTTTTATTTTCGAAGAAAAGTGTGAACCCAAGATGATGATTTCAGAGAGAGAGAGAGAGAAAAAGAGGGAGAGAGAGGGAGAAGATGATGATTTCAGAAAGAGAGAGAGAAAAAGAGGGAGGGAGAGGGAGAAGATGATGATTTCAGAAAGAGAGAAAGAGAGAGAAGATGAGATAATCGACAATGTAAGGTGAATGAAAAAGGTGAAAAGTTTAGTGGATACGATCATTTTCAATGTGTACCCTCCTAAACAGTATAAACAAAAATTGACCACACACGACGCTTTTTGCATTTAACTAAAATGTTGCCGCATGAGACCACCCACGTAGTTTGTGAGGTTATTGGGATGTATACTTTCTTGCTGGTTGATCACTTTCTATAATATTGATTGAACAATATGAAATAAGAACTACATGTTTTTCGTATTCTTGATACAATGATGATACAATTTGATATGAAATGATTGAGTGAAATTCACATTGATATTATTTATTATTAATCAATTTTTAGCTTATTTATTTCTGCTAATTAATTTTCTTCCACAAAATTTCACAATTTTGGTAAAAATTTAAAATTTGATGAGAAATATTATAATATAGTGAATTATTTTTGGTTCTAGCTTCTCGAGATATTCTGGTGGCTGACCAATAAAATTTATGTGCTACGTCGTAGTGATAAATTTTTACGGTTGTTGACCATTTCCTCTATTGAAATTATTATTGGTCTTCAATTTTTAACCCTTTCCGCTATGTGATAATCATAAAAAAAGTTTATCCGTTACGTAACACTCACTTGTCGTCACGGATGCTTTAGATTTCATAGAAAATTTTTGAAAGTAAGCGATTTCGAAACAAAAATTTTGAAATACAATGGATCGATGTGAGTTAATTTATCACATTTGCTTTGTAATGTCGAAACTGATATTTGCGGGAAAATGATGTATTTGAAATTGCGACAAATCTCCATACATGTAATGTGATGCATTTGGCGTGATAAGCTTTTTTTACATTTAGGTGTGGTAAGCTAGACTCCGTTGGTTTACGTAGGGAATCGTGTTTATGTATAGTATACAAACCTAAACGGACCGTGAGTGCCCATCAAGTCATAATAAGCAAATCTGTCAGATTTATGAACTCTGACGTTCTTTAGATACGACTTTTCTTTGAAAAGAAGCCTAATTTTTTTTGTGAATTGATTTTGTAGAAAATAATTTTGATTGCATTTTTGAAAATGGAAAAGCCTTATAAGTGTATGAATTAATTATCCGACTATTCTTAATGAGTTTTAAGAAGTAGAATTTAATTAGAAATCCATTTTAACCATTTTGGTAGTCAAGCCTTTGCTTAATTTTTTGTAAAGGAAAACATGGAAAACACAAACTTTGATTTCTTTTACTTTGAGAGAGTTGTACAGATGAAGCAAATAACATTATTTAACTCCTACTGTGGCTTTCATTTTTTGCGGGGAGTTTTTCTATATCTCTTTCAAATTCTTATTTTAAATTAAACTGCATCCTTTCATAGAAATTTATTATGACGTTCAGGATGCGAACGAGAAACTGTTTACGGATTGGATGAATATTTAACTCTAGATTGATGCAAGAGATAAGAATATAAAACATCTAGGTAAACTAGCATAAAAATTAAGTATATTTATCAATCTGTCTTGATTAGTAATGCCAGAAATTCGAATGTTTTGAGGTTAACAATTTCTATTCAAAAAAGGTAAGTTGACTTACATATATACTAAAAAAAGTGAAATTCCCATCAGTCAAAGTCAATTCGTCACTGTATTATATTTACAAGCCAAACTTCTTTTCTTCACAAAAAACTAATCATGCATTATATTGGTAAGTATTTCAAATTTTACTTGAAAATTAAATTTCTCATACTCTGTTGAAGAGTGATAAAAGATGTTTCCAAATCTTTTCTTTTTTCTCCTTTGATATCGTGACAAACCTTAATTAGAAATTTCTCACTTCTGTTTAAGATTACTTACGTAATTTGTCGATCGTTTGAAGTTGAACTTCCCTAAAGTGAGAAGAGAAAAAATTTTTTAAATTTTTGAATAGAATGCATCAGTTTATTAAAGTTATCCGTGAGTTTTCTTATCTCATTTCAATATTTGTTTAGAATTTTTTTAACCTTAAAAAAAATTGACATTCATACGTTGAATTTTATTTCAAACATAACAGAAACTGAACAATGAACTGTTTAATGAAATAAAATTCTAGATAAATAAATATATGTGGAGGGCATTTTACACTGCAATTCTCAAAAAAAAAAATTCAAATGCTATTATAACGATGAAATGAATCATCATAGCATGGTGACACTTTTTTAAAGGATATGGTCGTTTCGTCATACATTGTTGGTCCGCGGTATTTGAAAAGCTGAAGAATGTGGATTGTAGAAACATAGAATGCATATCACAAAAGTCCTATGAAAAATGATAATATGAATTTTACGTGATCTTTCATTTTTAAGTATAAAAATATTCGAGTTTTCAACCAGCATTTAATTTATATCTTTCTTGAAAGTGAAAGATTGAAAAATATTCTTTCTCATCTGCTGTAGTTTAATATTTATAAGATTTTTTCGGATCGCATAAAAAATGGTAAGGCATTTCTTCGTACATTTCTGAATTGCATATATGTTGTTTAATTCGAAAAAAAAAAACTTTTATCTTCTAAATTATTGAAGAACTGTTCTTTCTCACCGCAGCGATGCTGAGCCCCTTGTTCATGCATTTTTAGAAATAAAGAAGGGCGTTGATGAGATGGCGGAAAAATTTTCAGTTTCTGAAAAATTTTTTAAATTACATTTATGCCACGATGTTCAAAATTTGGCACTCCTTATTATTCTCACACCATAAATTTTGAAATTGATGCTCTGGAAAATTCGAAAACTGTATAATCGTTGTTTACCTGTATAGCTGTGATTTTTTTCAACTTTGCAGTAATCAGATGTACTTGCATATTCTGCTTCGTCCAAATCCTCGACTGATTGGTCACTAAAGCATTCTATCACATTTATCCTTTCCTGTCCGTGTTCTAATTTGTGTCCAGAAATTCCACTCGAACCCTAAGTACATAACAATTAATACTAACATATATATCGTTTAATTTAAAATTATGGCTATTCCATCAAAATATATATTTTAGCAAAAATTTTTATGTCATCAGCAAGCACAACATTTTTCAAGAAAAGAGTATAACTGATTGTGTTGATAAAAAAAATTTTATGAAAAGGTACGAATTTTGAAATTCATTTTTAATAGAAGGTGTCAACAAATTCATTTGACAATGTGATGTATGACAAATGATACGACCTTGTCATAGAAAGATTTAATTATGAATAGTATTTTGGTAACTCTGTAATTAAAAATTTTAATTATGATTAAATTTACTTTTACCTGCTTTGGTAAAGAGCCGTAATGTTTGAAATCCTGAGGAATATGGCCATTTTTCATGAACCAGCTGATCATTTGCGATGGAATGTGTCGTAATGCTCGTTCAGTAAACAATTCCCAAAATTTATCATTGTCCGGTAATTTACTGCGAAATTTTGTCAATGCTACAAACTGAAAATACAAAGCTTTGAGATAAAAAAAATTACGAAAAATTGAATTTCTAGATGTGTTTGAATTTTTACACCTAATTTCTGATTTTCTGTGTCAATTCAATATTTATTTCATAACTTTATCAATGTTATACAGTTCTACAACAAACCTGTAGCATATCACGTTCAGCTCGACGATTTTGATAGGAAATTCGACCACCTGAAAGACCAAGACGCTCCATTTCCGTACAATCATCTTCTGTTGCAATAAATATAATTGAAAGTGGAGCTTTGGATGCAAATATCGTTGCCTAAATTTGTTATTCATTGAAAAAATGTTTAAAATTCAGCAATTTAAATAAACTAGAAAAAGTAAACAGGAAGAAATTTTATGCAAACATAAAATGCCAATTCAATGTTACACAAATTTTTTTTCAGCCAATTAAAGTGAATATGATTAAATTTAAGTTTAGATACAATCTCCAAAAACATACTGTACCTGTACTGTTTCTCGGATATCATTTATCTTTCCTTTGCTGACTATTGCTAATACAAAATATGGGCATTGTAACTGGTTTTTATGCCTACGTACATTACTAGCCAATCTAAAACTAATTGTTGCATATCAGAATGATATATTAGATATCAGTAAATGACGATAAAAAAAAAATTGCATCAGTAAATTAAATTACCTGATTTAATTAGATTTATTCATATATTTTGTTTTCTGAATTGAGTATGATTTATTTTGATAAGGTGTAGACTTTGATAAAATGTTAGCGTGTGAGTATATTTCTTTTCTAATGTTTTTATTTTATCGGGGAGTTTTATTATGCTAATAGTCGTTTGATTTATTATATTCGAGTTATTTTCAAGATATGGAACTACATATTGAATTACCTCACATAATTAGACTTACTTAGAGAGATGATAAATGATATGAGCAAAATGAGCAGTTGTGCTAGGTTGTACTTGAGCATTCGCTTTCCAGAATGCATCAATTAAACCATCAATTCCCTGACAATTTGGATCCGTTTCCAGATTCTGCAAATGTGATTAATAATTAATTATGCCACCAATGACTCAAATGTTCATTTGATATTACTGATTCAGAAGAAAGAAAAAAAATTCAAACATATTAAAACATCTGAATATATATTGCCATTTAGTGGGATATTTTATGAATTATTTTATCGTATAGGTTGATAGATTAAGAGAAATGTAATTCAAATCATATTTTTAAAGCATTAATTTCAGCTGTGCAATGAATACTATAAGAAATCTTACAAGACAAAATTGCTGTGACTTTCGAAAATATGGTGGAATTCGTGCGCCAAAGCCAAAAGCTGCATAGCTTTGTGAGCTAAAATAATAATATTAATATATAATATTTGAATGTGCAATCATTAATGATAATCTTATTGTTTAGCTTAAAATTTTAAAACTCAGTCCCAAAAAAAAAACAAAGCTTTATATGCTTAAATTTTATTAAATATTCAAAGAAAAACTTGCAAATTATGACGTCGAAATGGTTCACAAATTGAACGAATGATACATTCAACATCATTTGCAAAAGTTGGATTTGTATCATTTGAATTTGATATCGAAAAATCCACCGCTATGGCAAGCGATAAACAGTAACTGAAATATTTATTTAAAATAAACTATATGGCCATTTTTCAATGCAATTATTCAATTTAATTGAAAAAGATACCCATTGGTGATGTAGTCAAGGAAGGAATATATGGTGATTTCGTTGCATTTGACCACCTCAATTATTCCATTTGCTTTTTTATTACTTTCTAATCCAACTTGTAACTAAATTTGTATAACTTTTAATACCAGTTAAAATTTGAAGATAAACTTTTATTTTTTGTGTTTTCCATGAAATTAAGAAGTTGCAACAAGCATATAGTTGATGTGGAAGAGATGATATTTTGAATAGATTCAAATGAGCTGGAAATACTTTATCCAGCTAAAGTCAAATATTTCAAGGGGTTAATTTTACTGATTATAGCGTTGAAACGAGTGGAAATGATATTTGGAAAAAGAACACATTTGGTACAAATGCACTTAAAATAAGTAGTTTACAAAATTTTCTACTAAAGTTTATTAAAATTAATATATCAAATGCTTACACATAAGATTTTTCGTTCTTTGGCATTTTTGAAAAGTACATCTGAAGATGTGATGAACTGTCCTATGATTGAACATCTTGCATGATCATTTCGTGAGTAACAGTGCACTTCGAAATTCCTTGGATAATTAACTCGTTAACATTTTAAACTTTCAGTTCTTCTTTTTTTAAATTACTGCATTCGAATTGTAACACTAATAAATTGCAGATTAGACCATATTTATTATTATAAATTTTTATTCAAAATAAGTTAACATGAATGATTATTGTACTTTAATTACCATTCGGTTAAAATTACCGAAGCAAACGTATGTAATTGATTGTTAACCTGTTTTTGGAATCTATAAGTATGCTTTTTGGTAATTGAAACGACTTCCAAAGAATTCTCGATGAATATAATTGACAATCGCTTGTGTATAATAAATCACGCGTTTCATTTTCTTTCATTCGAAACATTTGAAAATAAATCTGAAGATACAAAACAATGTGAATAGTAAGGAAATATCTAATTTTGTTTATTTTAAGACCAATCATTTTTTAGCTTTTATCTTCTTGTTTCAAATACAGATACGTTCAAGCAATTTTTTGATCAAAATTTGTTAACATAGAGATTTAAATTGTATGAGATTTAAACCGTATAGATGAATTATGCAAAATTCAAAACATTAAACCTGTGTATTTTCAAGCCTTTTCTTTGGAAAATTTTTGCCACAAAATTGGAGAAGTATTGTTTGCTCTTTTGGCTGAGCGATATATGATATTGCTATCATGCCGATCGATTTACCGCTTTTTATCTCGCTGAAAATTATTTTTATAATATAATTACAATATTATTTTTTTATAAAAGGCAATTTTATTTTTCAGTATTGCTCTTATAATTGAATTATTAGTATAAGTTTTTGCTAAAATTTATAATCATGTACTAGAATGTATGAATT